AGAAATAAAGGAGAACCTTGATTGCAGAGATACCGTGGGGCAACTTATGTAAATGAATAAGTTCTTATTCAAGCATTAGTGTATTGCGTTACAGTATTGCATTACGCACAATGCCAGTGCCTAGCCGCCTTTCCTAGATTTTCAATCTCCTTCCCATTTGCGAAATTTCCAACTTTTTTCTTCTTTCTTCTGCTAATTCGACGTTCCTTCAATTGTCCGTTTCTTCGATCCGTTATCCAAATAAATCGAATTATTAAACGTTAATTTATACGCCGTAAAAAATTTACGGCTTCTGTCCACGAAGAAGAAAAATCCGTTCTTAACAACAATTGAAACCGATCGATGTTTCGACGATTGTTAAAGCCGAGATTTCCTGTGCGTACGATGTACGAAGACATGTCGTTTTTACGACCATACATCCACTATACCCGACGAATATTAATGGAAAAGGTTGGTGTGAACCGCGTTGGTGAAATTTCGCGTTGGCGTAGCATCGAAGCCTTGTCCTTCGAGCCGCTTCTTGCTATCGTTATTTATAGTTTACGAGGAAATAACTTTCTCGGGCATCCGTCACGCGAGGAATTTTTATCGGTACGCGTTGCTTTCATCATGGTTGAACGTTTAACCTTCAGGTGCACACGGGGTCTCGTTTTCTCCGTTACCGGCTGTGAGAACAGACTTTGAAGCAGAAAGTGGTCATAACGATGCCACCGGCTCTGCTTACGCGTCAATTTATTCCACGGGGCTAAGTAAATCGCACACATGAGAGAGAGGCTCGAGCGAGCGTTCGTTCTCACGAGATTAAAATTATAATTTAATAAGAATTTCATTATTTCTCAAGTACACGTGTGCTCCTCGTAATTTATTCTTCGATTCTGCTCGTCTTTATTAATTTCTTCTCTTTCCTTCTTTTTTTCGAATACTTTTGAAAATCTTAATCTCTCTGAGATATCTCGGAAGGGATTGCAGTGAAAAGTAACAATGACAAATTGCAATTTTGCATCTCGTATTCCTGAATCGAAACTTGTGTCTATTGGAATCTTTGAATTGTATCTGTGATAACGTCATATTGTTGCATTGTTGTGAGAGGCATACACGAAACTGGAGCTTTTAAATCAGTTGGAGGATGTCTAAATTTAAGTTGGAGAGATGATTTTAGATTTGATAGATTTCCATGCTAGGGTTGAAGAATGTCAGCCAACCTGGAGAATCGCATCGATTCGAAACCGGTTCGTAAGTCTCTTTGTACTGCTCGTTCTTGACAGGACACGTTATATGCACGCGAGGAAGTGAAAGCAACGTTCACGGGACAATACGGCTGCCTCCTTCCCTTAACCCTTTCACGGCTAAAATACTAACGAATCATTGACACGTTATGGGTGTATTTATAATACGATTCGGGTTTTCACTTCGATTGATCTGATCAAAATTTGTATCTTCGTATCTTTCTGATTTTCAATCTCCAAGAATAATTTTCATTCTTGAATTGAGATCTAAACTTAAGACTTAAGACTTCAGATTTAAAGGTTATCTTTCGTAAAAATAAATCTTTTTCTACGTGATTTTAATGGATGCTGTTTAGACATGTTTGAAAGAAATCGCCATTTTCAATGTCCATTACTTTCAAGAATAATTTTTGAATTGTTGAAACTTAAACGTGCTTAAGACTTCTTAGATTTAAAGGTTATCTTTCGATGAATGATGTTTAGGAGTGTTTGAAAGTAATCGTCATTTTCAGTGTCCAACTCTCAAGAATAACTAAGATTGATTTAAACTTAAGACTTGTTAGATTTAAAGATTTGTCTTTCATAAAAAAATAAATCTTTTTCTACGTGATTTTAATATATATTGTTTGAAAATAATCGTCATTATCAATGTCCATTACTCTCAAGAACAAAACTCTCGAAGATTTCATTTTTGAATTAAGATTTAAACGTGTTTCAGATTTCTTAAATTTATCTTTCAAGAGTTTTCTTTCTTTTTTAAAATAGATCTCTTTTTTACTGGATGTTGTTTAAAGGTGTTCGAGAATAATCGGCCATTTTCAATGTCCATTACTCTCAAGAATAATTTTTAAAGATTTCATTTTAAAATCTAAGCGTGCTTAAGATTTTTTAAATTTAAAGATTATCTTTGACGCTGTTTAGGAGCGTAATCATTATTTTCAATGCCCATTACTCTCAAGAACAAATCTAAACTTAAGACTCGTTAGATTAAGAAGGTTATCTTTCGAGAGTTGCTCTCGAGAATATTTTTCGCGAGTAAAAAGTTACAAACGTATTTTACTCTCAACTGTATCGCGCTCTTACATCCAAAGTGAATAAGTTTTCGAAGCTTTAAATCGGATGAATAAATCAAGCATTTCGCGAAATACGAGGCAGGCGCGAAGAGATTCATGGAAGAAGAAGCGACTGTGGCCTCGTTTAATCGAGAGGATCACGCCTTCACGACAGATATACGATGTACCGAGTGGTGGAACAAGTTACGTGTACGGTCCAAGAGCTTGTTGAACTTCGCAAAAACGAAGCTTTCACGCGTCCTCGTGATCTTTATGCGAGGAACGATCAGAGAAAGCAGAAGTGCTAGATAGTTGCTGCGTTTAGCGTAGAAACTTTGATATTTAGAACATTGAACTTTGCCTTGGGTCAAGGAAAAGTCGATGATCTTCCAAGCCTGATCGAATTAATAAACGATTTTTTCTTTTCTTCGTGACGTTTTCCACGCTGTTATTTTATCTCTGAATGATATTGAATAAATAAAGGAATATCAAGCGGTAATTTAGATTATTAAGAAAATTTAACGAGACTCGATAAAAGAATAATATTGTTTTAATATCGCACTTCAGATTAATAAACAATCTAATATAGTTAGAAATTAATGCAAGAAATAAATAAATGTTTCTCAACACCCAGAGAAAACCAAATGTCATTTATTATAGAACTCGCGTTCATAGATCTCTCTCTCTCTCTCTCTCCTATCTTTTCCTCTACAAATACGTCAGTAATATATCAACCTGAAGTTTCCATCGAGGCAACCGATTATTACCAACTCGTGATGAATATTTATAGCGGCAATAGCCCCGGCTATGATTGGCTAATCGCTTTCATTTAACAATTATTCTCCCTTGCTATTTCTGCACCGCGGTTTTCCTAGAAAAGAAACGCGGGATCTCTAACGAGCGGGATGAGGTCGATTCGTTTACAGAGAGAGCATTGTCACTATTTATTTAGCTTCCAAGAATTCCAACGCTGGCCTTATGCGATTTGTTAATCGATTAACAGATTTTTCACCACGATCAACTCTCACTCTCTATCTCTGCCTCGAGCTGAATTATCTTTCGTCGAAAAATCCCAAAACGAGGAGAGGATGAATTGCGCAACTCTCGGCGAATTGTTCGAGCCGTAGGTAACAGTGACAACGTAAACCAAGTCTAATCGGGGAAGAACGTGGGCGAGATCGCGTACACAATCGCGAACACGTTAACGGTAGACGAACAGAAAACCGCACAGGTACCGGATGCTTTCATGAATAGGCCCATTGTGAGCCAAGGGATTGGGTCTGAGATAACTGCATACGCTCGTTGCATCCGGTCCTCGCCTATTTATACGTCGACAAGTTGAAAAACGTTGATTGCTCTTACCCTCGATGCCAATCTTTTACATTAACAGCGATTTTCTCGGCATGTGACAAACCACCGGATTCTCTTTCTGATTTGCGTTAATATCGATCGAACATTTGAGAAATCCAACAGTAAATGTACACTGTATTTTCATAATTTTAGAGAAGAGGATATGTACGGAACACTTATGGAGGATTGATTCTCTCAAAAGGAATAGAAAAATGTTGAGATTCATTTATTATATCTACTCTACCATTTGTTAAAGTAACCTTTCCACAACGAAGACAGTTTTCGATAAATGTCACGTTGCAATTAAATTATCTACACGACACGTTAGGAAACGATGATCCCCGGCTAACCTAATTGATCGAGATCGAAATGTCAGCGGTCCTGTCGAGAGTTCGTGAATCGCTCGATCCGAGTACTGGATCTCGAATATTATTGGAACTGGATTTGAGCGGGCCCGTGTCTAATGAACAACCAGGTTTTATCGTGCGTAACAAACGACACGAGTGTTATTTGAGTTATGAAATAATCGATTTCGCGCCAACTACTCAACCACCAGCCTGGTAATATTAACTCGTGATAAAAACTCTTATTTAATGTGCATAATCATTTGCTAACGCGAACTGCGAGTGGTAAAACATCGTAGATATATGATGGTTCGTCCCATTAGTCGAACTTTTTCTTTCGAATATGTGTATTAGGAAATAAGGTGGCTTCGTTAATTTCCAACGAAACAAGTATAATAATAATAATAATAATAATATTTCGTTTAATTTTTTCAATAATTATTTTCCGTTATCGGTTCCAGAAACCAATATCGATAGAAAAAAAAAATTGACGTACAAAAATTTTAATCGAAGTTTTATTTATTAAGTATTTATATAAACGATTTAGATTTAAGTTGGATGAAACGGGACGGAAACAGAATGACACATGCGCCACGGTGTGGCGGGGAGATGTAACAAAAATAATGCTGTCTCGCTCTGTCTCGTCTCGCTTTATCTAACGCAAAATTTTCAACTTACGAATAAGTCTCGTCCAACATTTTTATGCATCAACTTTTGTGCTTGTTTTGCCCTTTAGAATCGAATGGATATATTCCTAACGAATATATTAACGTATAAAAATTAATAAATTATCTCTCTTAAAAAACTTATCGAGAAGTGAAATTAAATATTGGAATAGCTTTAAAATGATCATTCTTGTGAGTACAATATTGATTTTTAATAAATAAAAAACAAGCCGATCAACGACTTATAAATAAACATCGTGCTTATTATAATTAAATACTATGATTGTTTAAATCGATCGATGATTAAATACACCTGTTACACTTGATAGATTTAAAATATTAATTATTCGGTCACGTTTGCAGAGGGGAAGGTCGAGGTGTCGCGTGATGGTAAATATTTGAGCACGTTGGCACCAGGAAAGGTACTTGGCGAACTGGCAATTCTCTACAACTGCAAAAGAACAGCGACGATAACAGCAGCTACCGATTGCCAGCTATGGGCCATCGACCGACAATGCTTCCAAACCATTATGATGAGAACCGGCCTTTCACGGCAGGCCGAATATACGGATTTCTTAAAGAGGTAATAAAAGTATTATGCATATATGCAATCCTCTTCGAAATATAGACACTATTATTATTGTTATTATCATCATCATTTCCAAGGTTAATAATTACATAATTCGTATTTAATGGAACAATAAATCTTTCCTTCAGCTTAATATTTATTAATGTCTTACGTCTTATAGGGGGGAAAAGTTCATTCATCGTCTGATATATAACGTTATATAAAATTTTTCAAAATATACTGTGAAAATTGAAGAAATCTCATTATAAAGTTTTATCTTCCCAGTTGTTATCTTATTTGATGATTGAACACGAATATACAAATATTTTACAATACATGATTAATAAATTTTTATCTACATGATTTCTCGTGAATCTCAGTGAACGATCGAGTGAAATAATAAGGAAGATAATTACATATTTATTTATTCGAATGTTTTGTTTTAATTACAATTTTTTTTTTTTAATTCGTAAAAACACGAAAATTCATTAAATAAAATAACTTGTTAACTCTTATCCTATCCTTCGTCTCGAGATATTTTCAAATGATGATTTAGAAAATAAGTTAAACTGAGAAATGTCTCAAATTAGCCCGAATTTAAACGAAATTTGATCATGAATCATAATCATCATCATCATCATCATCATCATTGCGATGAAGAATAATGAGAAACAATAAACCAACGATTAAATTGGTGAATAGTTTCGTTTGTGTTTACTAAGAAAACTATATACATGTATAAATAATAGAGAAAATGAATATTAATACCAGTTTTTCATTAACCAATTTTTTTATTTTTAGGTATTTTTTTCAGTATTCCCTCCTGTATAAATAATCAAATCTCATTAATGCTGGAAAAAATTAATAAATGTCGATCAACCGACTCGAAATAAGCAATTTTCTGTCCGCTAATAGATCTTTTGAAAATTAACTAATCAGCACGAAGTTGGTTTTTAACGAACGTCTCGAATTTTTTGTTTCAGCGTTCCTATCTTCAAGAATTTGCCCGAGGAGACTCTAATAAAAATTTCAGACGTGTTGGAAGAGGTAAATTTAAATATCTCGATTACAAAATTTTAACTTCTCATTGATATCACAATATTATACAATTTATTATACTTTCGCTCGCGTAACTTTCTAAATCCTAATTTTCCTATAACAACATATTCGTTTGTTAACACGTACTAATACTAACCAATGAAATGTAAATATTATTGTACAAAAAATATTTGAAAAGATAAGGATAGATATGCATCTTGAAAAGATAATAAAACATTTTTTCGATCTTTCTTGATAATAATTCGCAAGGTGAAATCGTAATTATAAAAATATTATTGAATACATTTTCAATCAAATTGTTCAAATTTTACAATATTAAATTTTCGTGAATATCATTGTACATTGTACAAACATAGAACCTTCTGTTAACTATCGTGCGTATATTTTTGCAGACTTTTTACAACAATGGGGATTACATAATCAGACAAGGAGCGAGAGGGGATACATTTTTCATAATAAGCAGAGGACAAGTTCGCGTCACGATAAAACAGCCCGATACACCGGAAGAAAAATATATCAGGACGCTGAGCAAAGGCGATTTCTTCGGTGAAAAAGCTCTTCAAGGGTAATTATCTAATAAATAAAATAATTTTGAGCAAAAAAAATTAAACTTTCATGGAAAACTTTTAAATACGATTTAAGAAAAAGCAACATTGTTGCTATACGCGTTAAAATTTAAAATTCCTCCTTTTAAAATTTCGAATTATTCCATCTCTCTTCCTTCATCTTTCGTGCGAATGCATCAACGGCTACGCGATGATCGAATTGCGCGAAACGTTTTCACAGGGATGACCTGAGGACGGCCAACATAATCGCCGACGATCCGGAAGGAGTGAGTTGCCTGGTGATAGACCGTGAAACGTTCAATCAACTGATCTCGTCCCTGGACGAAATTCGTACGCGATACAAAGACGAGCTCGTGGAGCGTAGAAGGTGAGTGAACATTTCGAATCTACGCCACGTAATTCGATCGCGGCTGTGAAACGTGGTGTTATTATTAATAACCGGCGTTAACTCTCATCAACGCTAATTATACACGGCCATAATCGCGATCGTGAATCGTCTGTTAAATCCTACATCTCCTCTATGTATGTGTGTTATGTTTCACGCTTACCAACTAGGATGGGAGAATAGAGCGTACGATATCAGAGTAAGTTTCGCGTTGTGCTACAACAAGCGTGCTAATGATTCGACGATTAAGCTGATGTTTCGTTATTTATTTATTTATTTATTTATGTTTCTTTTCTTTTAAAACGCGTTGGCAATTTGTATTGCCGCCGCGATAGAAACGGAAAAAAAAAAAGGAATTAACTAGTCGTAAATCTTATCAGCATGATGGTATTAATGTAATTTAAAAGCGCGGTATCATAAGTGAGAATAATTTAATTTAATGTTTCTGGAGACGAGATAATTAAATTTATTTATTTTCCTTTTTTCTTCTTCTCCTTCTTTCAGTAGAGTAATACAAGTAGAGGTAAAAATAATTGAATAATCTAAGAAAAATAATTGATTTAGAGATTATTTAGGAACGTAAATTATTCCATTTAATTTGTAATTAATTTTTATAAGTATGTAGTTTTTAAAGAAAGAAGCTTTTATTTTATGATTATACAAGATCTGATCCTGGAATCCTTTTTTTCTTGCTTTCGTGCCTTCGTGTTGTGAAAAAGAAATAATTTAATAAAAGAAATAATAAACGAACGTATTTGATAAAATTCAGGTTGAACGAGGAATTCAGAGATCTAAGACTGCAAGATCTTCGACCATTGGCCACTCTGGGTGTGGGCGGTTTCGGAAGAGTCGAATTAGTTCAAATAGCTGGTGACAGTTCGAGATCCTTCGCTTTGAAACAGATGAAGAAGGCCCAGATCGTTGAAACGCGACAGCAACAACACATTATGTCAGAGAAGAGAATTATGGGCGAAGCTGATTGCGATTTCGTGGTGAAACTATTCAAAACGTTCAAGGATAGGAAGTATCTTTATATGCTGATGGAAGCATGCCTTGGTGGCGAGCTCTGGACCGTTCTAAGAGACAAGGGTCACTTTGACGATGGCACAACGAGATTTTACACCGCTTGTGTCGTAGAAGCATTCGATTATCTTCATTCTAGGAATATTATATACAGAGACCTGAAGCCGGAAAATCTGTTGCTTGACAGTCAAGGGTAAGAAGGTTTTTTTTCTTTTAAGTTTTTAAAATTAAAAACTTCTTTCTTATTTTGCTAATAATATTTTTTTCAGATATGTAAAACTGGTCGATTTTGGTTTCGCCAAACGTTTGGATCATGGAAGAAAAACGTGGACCTTCTGTGGCACGCCTGAATACGTTGCGCCGGAAGTTATATTAAATAAAGGACACGATATCAGTGCCGATTATTGGTCACTTGGCGTTCTCATGTTCGAACTTCTTACGGGTACGCCACCATTCACCGGTGGCGATCCAATGAAGACTTATAACATTATTTTAAAAGGAATCGACGCCATAGAATTTCCTAGATCTATCACGCGAAACGCGACTGCGTTGATCAAAAAGCTCTGCAGGTAATAATTAAACTCTGATCGAAATATAGATATCTGTTATAATTCTATAGTTGATTTGTTAATTAAATTTCGTTACCTATATTTATTTATTTAAGGGACAATCCAGCAGAGCGTCTTGGTTACCAAAAGGGTGGCATTAGCGAGATACAGAAGCACAAGTAAGTTATATCGAATAATGTAATTATAGGAAACGTAGAGAAGAGAAGTTTTTATTAATAGTCATATTTATCCATTTATTAGATGGTTCGATGGTTTTAATTGGGAAGGTTTAAGAGCAAGAACTCTTGAACCTCCCATCATGCCGCGAGTTCAAAATGCTACAGATACAACGAACTTCGACGAGTATCCTCCAGATTCAGATCCACCACCGCCTGATGATATATCCGGATGGGATAATGATTTTTAGTCAAGATCTATATAATAATTCCTTTAAAGAAAGAAAGAGAAAGAAGTACGTGAAACTTCGAACCGTGTTCGACAAATAGCGAAAAAAAACGTTAAAAGATCGGTGGAGAATGTGACTATCGGCATCTGCATTTATTCAATAAGCTAATATGTGATGCATAGATAATCGTCTAGGATCATCGATCATCGATCATCGAAAAACGATAAAGACGAAACTGGTCTGTGATAAAAGAGTCAGGCCATTGAAAAGTAAGTTTTTTTTCAAAAAGTCTTCGTGTTTGTTACGTAATCTATGGATTTAAATGATCGCATTATAACATCTAAGAAGGTATACGAATTTTTTTACGCAAGACCAATAATAATCCATAAAGATTATTAATATAAATTGCATCCGATTTAGAAAAATATTTACACGCACGAGCTCGCGTTCGATAAAATAAAAACTCGAACGTGGCATCGTGAGATGCGCACGAATGCGTTAAGTGCCATATCTAAAAATGGTAAAAGTCGAATACGATATATGTGTATAGAAAGAATGACCATACGACATGCACGATATTCAATTAGCTCAAATTTTAAGAAACATCTTGCCATCAGATTCTTAAATCGTGCACTCGGTTTCGCAGAATGAATCACATTGAATTCTTCTCATAACCGATTCATTGTTGTTTGATTTACTTTATAGTTTATTGTAATAATTCTATTTTAATTAATTATACGAAAACGTGACTCTTGTAAATAATTGACTATAAATAAATAAATATATATATATATATTACATATATATACTTAAAGTTCAATAAATATCAATAATAAATAAAGTTTTATTAATGCTAATTATGCGTAATTGATTAAATTTGCCGAAATACCCAATTTGAAATTAGAAAGCTAATTGAATAAAAAAGATTAAAATACTCTTATATAAAAATTATTTTAAATGCTTTGCAACAAATTTATTTTTATAATTTATTTATCTACTTATTAATTTTTTAATATATTTTTAAATCAAGTTACATAAAATTTCTTATTTCTATTAAAATATTTATCACAAAAAAGTAAATAATCTCATATTAGAATTATAAAATTGAGTTTTTTTGATTTTTAAATTAGTATTCTATCTTTTTATTCATTATTTTAAAAAACATTTAAAATCTTTTAAATATTAATAAAGATTAATGCGAAAAAAATAAAGTTAGGGTAAAAATTAGGGAATCAGCGCCATCTCTAGAATGCTGTAATGAAACATAAATGTAGATAAAGAGAATAAATACTTGAAGAAGGAAAGAGATAGAGTAAAAATGACTATTAATGCCATCTCTTGAATGCTTGTAGAAAGATAATTTTTAAAGAGATGTTTTTAGCATTTAAGAGATGACGTTGATGATTAATTTTTAATCCAATTCTACTCTTTTCTTATTTTCTCATTGTCCATATTTGTTTCGAGGCACTGTAGAGATGGCGTTGATTTCTCAATTTTTACTTTATTCTTCTTCCATTATTTACTATTCTTCTTATTTACATTAGAAATGAAATCATTATTGTCATAATAATCATATCATATTCCATAAAAATAATCATAAAAAAAAAATTCCTAAAAAAATTCTCTGATAAATAGTTTATGTTTCATATTTTGTAGAATTATATGTAAAAAGTATATATGTTACTTAAAATAAATTTATTATTTAAAATAAACAAATGTTGATGTTACTTATTTATAATTATTATAATTTATAACTATTATATATTTTTATTTTTTTATGATTAAGAATTATCAATTAAAATTATTATAGAATTTATATTATGTAATAGAAATATGTATTTATGAGATAAAACTTTAAACTTTGCTTTTAAATATATATGCAAATTAGAATTAATTCTAAAAAAATGATATATGAAATATATCGTTTCGAATTAAATCTATTTAACTTTTTTATTATTAAATAAATCATGAAATGAAGATAAAATTAAAATTAAAATAGGGAAAATTTACAATCTTGTAATATAAATTTTTTTTATATTAATATTGTTTTTATTTTTTGTATATTAAAGTAAAGAAAATAAATTATCTGAAAAATAATAAAATTTTAAATACAATTCATTTTCATAATGAGCAACATTATAGCAATATATAACTAAAATTCTCAAATTATCAACAATGTTATCAACCAATAGCTAGGATTGTAGCCTGTGTCACGTGATTTAGTTTATTTATCTTCTACAAGGACTATCATTTTGAATGTATTTAGTACTTATCTACACGCGGGTTATACTTTGTAAATATTATTTCATAAAAAAAAAATAAAATTTTAATCAAGGTAAGTAAAATATTGATTAACGTTATTAATTAAATTATTAATGTATATTTTTTGAATAAATTGAAAATAAATTAATATATCTTATAATATATTATTTGAAACTTTGATCTATAAATTGATATTTTAAATCAATAAACCATGTGGTATATATCATAAAAAATTATTTTTTGTATGTTAAAGTTAACCTGTTATTTATAATTTAATTTTTCTTTTTTATTTTTTTATCAAAAGATTATTATTCATTTTAAAAAAGTAAAAAATAATATTAATATATAACTATATTAATATTTATTTATCTTAAATTTTTATTATATGTTTTAATTCATTTTTATCTAATTTTATCTCATCTTTTTCTTTATTATAATATAATATTATAATATATATTCATTTTCTTTAATATAATATATTTGAATTCTACAATATTTTCTAAATTTTTATACTTTATTTATTCATAAATGATTATATCAAAATATTATTATATTATAAAAAGAAGGAAAAATATTTTTAGAAATAATTTGTATTTAAATTCTATATTTCAATATTTTTTTAAATTCTTTTTTTTATTTATATTTTAATATTAAATTATTTAATTTTTTTTCCTTATTCTCAATAATAAAATATTACAAAAAAAATTATTATGAAATACTATTATACGTTTCTAATAATCATTTTGTCATATTTTATCAATTTTTATCATATATTTAATGTAATATTTTCATATTTTTTATATTCTCCATTCAAGAAATACCAATATAATTAATTTATGATTATTTTTATATATTTTGTATGTTATATAATTTTTTATATTTTATTTTTTTATTTATGATACTCAATTATTGTAAAATTAAAGTAAAATGGAATTTTATTATAAAATAAAATTTCTTTATAACATATTTAGGAAAAATGGAAGGAGATAAGCAATTTGGCAAAGGAAGAGGAAGTATTTTATTAAAACTTCTAAAAGAAAAAGAAAAAGCTGAAAATGAGGGGATATTACAGGGGATATCATCTACATTAAATGCAAGTAATGCCAAAGAATCAAAAAACCAAACAGAATTAAATATTCAATCTGTAATTGAAATTCCATCAAGTTCTTCAATAGGACGTGGAAGAGCTAGTTTGTTGCAAGTATTAAAAGAAATGAAATCTAGTGAAACATTACAGTCTAAACCAATACAAACAATTAGTTCAGGTAGAGGATCTTTGCTTAATAGACTTAAAGCAACTAGGTATGTATTTTAACATTATTATATAAATAGATATATATATACATATTTGTAATAATATAGTGAAAAATATTTGCAAAATTAAAATCATAAAAATTTTTGTCTTATTAGATATACAGAGTCCATCGCTGAAATATCCGTAAACTGGAAATTCCTAAGGTAATTTCAAGATAATTTCAACATTTTTCTTTTCAAAAATTTTTATTACAACTTTGTTAATACATTATTAACAAAAAATAACTAATCATAGAATGTGTAATCTAATCAAACCGCGTATATAGTGTTGGCTATATGTCGGCGAGCAAACGCTAATAAGTTCAAATAATGTATGTCATAGGAAATATATTGAATATGAGATATAATATATGAATATGAATACAAATGTTTTTTATATTCATATTCATAAAAATTTATCGTTTTATCGATAAAAAATTATATCGAATTATATCATGAAAAAAAAACTATTAAATATTCAACATATTCACAAATCTTCAACATGTTTCTTAGACTTGTTCGTGCTCGATCGCTAGCACGAGCCAACACTACTGTCGTGTTCGACTGCATATTTCATGATTGACCAGTGTTTTTTTGTTAATAACTCGTTAATAAAATCGTACGAAAATTTTTGCAAAGAAAAATGTTTGAAATTAGTTTAGAAATCTCCAATTTATGGATATTCCAATTATTGGGACTCTTTGTATATAATGAGATATTGTATGAAAGTTGAAGTATTAAATATTAGAATTCATTTAAATTGTTTGAATTTGATTTATTATATTTTTCAAATATTTATCTTATATATTTCAGTATATTTCAATATTTTCACAATAATAAATTTACAATATAATATTATATAATTATTAAATACATTATAAATAGCAATAGATATTGTAAAATTTAATTGTAATTAGGAAGACAAAGTAAACAAAATATTGTTTCTAATAAATTGAATTATATATTAAAATTAAACAATTCTTAAATCATTATATATAATATTAAAAATATTTTGTAATAAAAAGAATAAAATGTTTAATAGAATATTTAATATATTATCAGTCAGTTAATATAACTCAATCTCTTTATTTTTCATTTAAAAAATCTTTCGTTTAAAAAAAAATCATAAATACTACAAAAATATATTATAAAAAAAGATATTTAACATGTAAATAGCAGAAGAAAATATGTTTTTATAGTTTAAATGAAACAACTCCTCAACAACCAAGCATTGCTAAAAATTCTTCTGATAATGCAGGAGTATTAGGTAAATTATCTGATATTACAATACAAGAAAGTAAACCTAAATCTGAAGCATCATATTTAACATGTAAACCAATGTCTCATCAAGGAACTGAGGGGGAGCCGTAAGTATCAATATATATATATGTATATGTAATTAATAATTACAATAAAATTTAAATATAGGTTAGAGAATAGTAATCAATTTTTAGAATACAATTGGGTGCTAACTATATAAACCTTAAGTTAGATCCTGCAAAAGGACTATTTAATTATGAAGTTAAATTTAATCCTGACATTGATTCAAGACCACTTCGTAGAAAACTTCTTAATCAACATGTACAAACACTTGGGCGAACAAAAGTATTTGATGGAGTAACACTTTATCTACCACAAAAATTAAAACAAGATGTAAGTAATGAAAATTAAAATATATATATAAATAGAAAGGATTTCTTAAAGTTTATAAAAACATATTCTATAAA